GGGTGTCTGTGCTGTCATGCTCCTGGCTGGTGGAAACTCATTGTCCCCAGTCTGGGGACCTCCAGTGTCCTCAGTCCAGGGAACCTCACTGACCCCAGTCTGGGCACCCCCAGTGTCCCCAGTCCAGGGAACCTCACTGACCCCAGTCCAGGGAAACCCGCTGTCCCCAGCCTGGGGAATCTCACAGACCCCAGTCCAGGAGACCTCATTGTCCCCCATCCAAGGAGCCCCACTGTCCCCAGTTCTTTGAGGGGAGGTCAGGTGCAGGCTTTGCCACCAGCCCAGGGAAGGAGGACGCTGCGAGCGATGCTGGCAGCTGCCTGGCTGGAGGAGGGGACCAGCCCTGCGGTAACACACACACTTCTTGGCACAGGAGCTGAGTGAGTTAAAAGGAGCTTTTTTTCTTCTTTTTCTTTTTTTTTCTTTTCTCCACACATCTGGTTTATGAGTATGTGCTGTGGAACGGCTGTAAAACACCTCCCAGCATGGAAGGAGCTCATGCTGCAGAAAGCCAGGCGCGTTGGACCCTGGGAGGGAGCAGCTCATGAGAGAAGAGGACAACTGCTGTCCCCTCCATGGCCCAGCGTGTGTCCATGCTCACCTGGCATCTGCTTCGCTGTAGTATTCCCTGGCCACAATGTCCTCAAACAGCTCCCCGCCAGTGACCCTGTGAGAAAACAGGAGAGTCACGCTCGGCCAGCTCAGTGCAGCACACAAGGGAGCTGGATTGATTTACAGCACGCCCAGCCCTGGCACACACCTCCCCAAAATGCTGCTGCACCAGGCATGGGGGGAATACTGGGGGTACAGGACACCTGCCCAAGAAAGGCTGGGGTGAGGTGGAGGTGGGGGAAAAGCTCAGGGGGGGCTGTGGGGGTGCAGGGCACGTCACCCCAGGGTGGAAGCGTGCAGTTGGCGGTGGATTAGGGGATGTATTTAACCATTACTCACAGGTCAAATATCAGGTAGTGGTGGCCCTCTTCTGAGATGCTGTCGTGGAGCCTCACTGCGGCAGAGACAGAAGGGTTACAGGGTACACCCACATCCCACCCCGCTCCCCAGGAACGCCTTTGCTCCCCTTTGGGCACAAGCAGGAGCTGAGGAAGGGCAGAGCAGGGCTATTCCTCTTCCTCTTGTTATTGCCACCAGCTGGGTGGAGGGGTCCCTGCTCAACAGGGGACCCCAGCCCTGGCCCCAGCCTCTGGCAGCGGTGCAAGGCTCAAAGGTCACATCCAAATCAGGGGCTGCCCGGGGCTGGTGCCTGGCCGAGGTCCCAGGCAGCTGCTGGGCTATCTTGGGTGCTGGACAAGGGTGGGTGCCCCCAGCCCAGCCCTCTGCCCCAGCAGGAGATGTGCCCAGGCACAGGGAGAGCTCAGCGGACCCCAGCCCTGGCCCCAGCCTCTGGCAGCAGTGCAAGGCTCAAAGGTCACATCCAAATCAGGGGCTGCCCGGGGCTGGTGCCTGGCCGAGGTCCCAGGCAGCTGCTGGGCTATCTTGGGTGCTGGACAAGGGTGGGTGCCCCCAGCCCAGCCCTCTGCCCCAGCAGGAGATGTGCCCAGGCACAGGGAGAGCTCAGCCAGGGCACTGGGCTGCCGGCCCTGGCACCAACATGGGTTTTTTATTTTCTGCTTCTGACCTTCCTTTTCTCCTTGGGAAGTCTTGGGTTGGGGATATCCAGGAATCACCACAGGATGAGTTTCCTTCAGAGGAAGCACTGTCCCCACAGGGCTGGCATCTCACCCCGCTCATCACGCCAAGGAGCATCCTCGCTCCTCGGGTACATCTTGCCAGGTACAGCCGGGTGCAACCTCCCACCCTGAGCTGGGTTCTGGTGATTGAGGCTGAGATCCCCACTCACAGCTTAGCAGGCGGGTGTGCAGGGAGGGGACAGGCACACAGACAGGTAGGATGTACAAATAAAGACTGAGCCAGCATCCTCTGGCTCTCACATCACATTTGTTCTGATTTCCTTGGGGCTGTAAATGTTTAACCCTTCCTCTCTGTGTGATAGAGAGGACACTCTGCTCATCTGATTCCAGCCCGATACAACTTTAAACATCTTTGAGATTTTTGGAAACCAGGGAAGAAAAGGAAATGTTCAGGTGACTGATTCTGTGGGAATTTTTGCTCCTAGCCCATTTTACCACAGCTAAACCAGCTGAGCCCTGTATGGAAACATCTCCAGACTCGAGTCTGAGCTGGGGGATGTAACGAGCCCAAAAGCTGAGTGCAGACACTGGTGCTGCATCACTTTCATCTCCTGGGCCATCAAATGCTGCTTTGCTGGTCCAACCCCTTCCTCCGAGCTCAGCGGGCAGATCCAGACGCTGCTAAGAGCAAGGTGCCAGCAGCATCACCTCATCCTGGCCAGGGCAAGGGGCAGGGGAGGTCTGCTGAGCCAGACAGCATCTTTCCTCTTGGTCTTGTCTATCAACACAATTTTCTCATCTTATTCCCTGGTTATTCTTCCCCACTGCTTGTCTCCACAGACATCCCCCGTGCTCCAATATCAGTATCTGCTCCCTGTTTTACTCCAACATATAATCCCAGCTTTTCTGCCTTCCTTCCTCTGCTGGAAGAAACACGTTTCCTCCTGTTTCATCTCACCCAAGAGGGATTGGGGGGGATTGTGCCTGGGATCCTGCAGAAGCCAAAGTGTTCAAAGGAGGATTAGGTGAGTTTGGTGTGGACAGGGCCATCATTAACTCTAAGCAGATGGTCCAGATATATCCCCTGCCTGGGGAAGTCCCAATGCCCATGGCTGCCAGGAGCTGAGGAGGTGTAAGAAGGAGCCACTGCTCTAAACACAGCCTGGGCCTGCAAATGCCTGTTACTGACCACAGACAGGAACAGCCGCGATGGCCAAACCACTCCAGCTCAGTGCCGAGAGCCAAGGCAGGAGCAGGACACAGCTTTGGGACTGAGGGTCAGGAGATGATGGGTACCTGGAGTTAAAACTCCATGGCTAGGTGTAGCCAAAGTTTCCTTGATAAAGCAAGACTTCCCTGCAAGGACGTGCAGCTTTGGGAAACAGCGGCTCTCCTGGGTGCCGTGGATGTGCTGTGGGGTCTTGGACCTGCCCTCAACCACCCATGTATGGCTTTCTCTGCAATGTTTTCCTCTGGACATGCTGCAGGATGGTTCCTCCAAGCCCGTGGCTGCACCACAGCATTCCCATGGGATACAGAGGGACCCCCCCACGCTGCAGGGAATGAGTGTGGAGCCAGCAGAGCCCCTCGGCAGCTGGGGTGCTCCTGCCAAGGAGGGATGGAGAGGGGTTTTCTGCCTGGCCTGCTCCATGCTCCTGGCAGCGATGGCTCCTCTTCCTCTCGTTAGGGCTGGTCTCAGCAGCACAGCTCGTTCCAGCTCCTGGGTGGGTAATTAACCGCCTTGTGCTGCACGCAAGGGAAGCTGGAGCCCAAGTTTCCAGGCAGCAGGAGCAGTGGGGTGGGTGAGGGTGTAGGGTGGGGGGGTGGAAAAGAGCCTCCTGGGTATAAATAGCAGCCAGATTTTAGTATCTTTTGCCGTTAACCCCTTCCAAGCCTGTGCAGTGAGGGTTTTCTGTCCTCGGCGACCCCGCCAGCCCCAGGGGCAGGTGATGGAGAGGGGAGGGAGGAAGACAGCTCTAAGGAAAAGCTGAGGCCAGGCTGGGAGCCTGGGGAACTCCAGCTGCATGGCCCAGCTACCGTCCTGCAAGTCTTCCTGGGGTGGATTCCTCCATTTTTATCACTTCTCACTATTCACACAATTGACAGAGCATTTCCTTTGGGTCTCAGCAACACCCCCGTGTATTTTGGTGCAGAGGAAAGGCCCTGGCTGCTGCTCTGACCAGGGGAGGCTGGACTGTGTGGGCAGCATCCCTCCCACCAGAGCAGAGGCAGGGGAAGGACACTGGCCAGATCCGTTGGGGTCCAGCATCCCGGCAGTGCAGGGGAGACCTGCCACACAGCTGTCTGCCTGAGACAGATGGAAGCTGACAGGCTTTTTCTGAACTGGAATATTTATGGGGCAGGAGCCGCATGGCTGATCCCAGTGGCTGGTCCCAGGTCTGGATCCCTGGATCTGCTGATGGTTCCTGGGAAAGGACAGATCCAGACCCCTGGGAGCAGTGAGGAGCTCAGCCAAAGGAGAAACCTCCCAGCTCCTGGATGAGGGATAAGAGGGCTACGGGATACGAGGGCTGCAGAGCTCCTGTCCTACCCCAGAATGCTTTCCCAAAAGCTTCACAATCCCACCAGGGTTGGCACATCCCAGGATGCAGCGCTGGGGAGAAGGGGTTCATCCCTGCTCCTGCTGCTGGACCATCCCCAAGGACAGACAGTCTGCATCAGCACCACTCTCAAGGCTGGGTTTGGGATTTTTTTTTTTTACTGCAGTTTTTTCCCCTCCCCTCTCCCTCTCCCTCTCTCTCTCTCTCTCCTTCTGGCCTATTTTTGTCTTTTGCAGGGGCTCAGGAGTTTTCCTGAAACAGCTTTTCCGAAGGAGGCTACTCTCAGATGGACGGTCGGTGGGAAAGTCTTCGCTTCCCCCCGCCATCGCTCCTCCTACACGCCCCGCGCTGCCGCTGCTGCTGCTCGGAGCTGCAGCCGCTTTTTGGAGCATGCAGAGGAATACAGCACCCGAGGAGGGGAGAGGAGAGGAGTAAAAATAGTCCCTTGCAGCCTTCTGGGGCCCTGCTTCTTCCCCAGGGAGCTATGGCCAAGTGGGTTAGGTAGGACCTACTTCAATCCCCCTGCACTCGGTGGAGACCTTTCTTCCCATGACCCCGTTTGAAGATGCTGCCTCTCCATGAGGAAGAGGAGGGATGGCTCCATGGATCAACAGAGTGGGCTCCCTCTGAGCCCCTTCTCCATCTCTCCAAGGTGGCTGGTGCATGAGGGAAGGACAAACAGCCTGTGCTGCTGCAGGCAGGGCTGGGTCATTGATGGGGACCCCCAAACCCCGGCAGGCAGTGGAGCCAGGCACGGAGCTGGGCACAGAGCATGGACATGGAGCATGGACATGGAGCACAGGGAGGTTTGCCCAGCTCTCCACCTGGCATGTGGAGGGAGCAGGGTGTGCTTACCGATGTTGGGGTGCTTCAGGAGACGGCAGATCCGAGCTTCTCGTTCCAGCTTCTGGTGATCTGAAAGAGGCAATGGCCCTAAATTAGGGGCTGGGGAAGGGGAATAAACCACTCTCAGCTCCTGCCGTGCTCTCTCAGAGGAGGTGTCAGCACAGGAAACCTGGGGAAGATGGAGCAGCTGGCAAGGAGCAAACCTTTCCAAGAATAACAGTTTTGGGGACACATTCAGCATCGGCTCCTGATGGATGGTACCCCAGCAGAGATGCAGCACTCAGCCAACCCCCCAGGCACCGATGCCATGGGCAGTCCTGAGCTTTGGATGGTCCCTTGCTC